CGGTGGCGCCCACCCCGAACCCCAGGGGCTTCCCTCCTGCAGGCCGGCTGGCTCTGGTTACCAAGCACCGCTGACCATCTGGCTCCCGTGCCTGCGACGGGTCTCCTGCTTGGCTGCACTGGGCAAGGCAAAGTGAGGGAGGAGGAGCCCCAGTGGGAATGGCGAGATCCATTCTGGGGCGCTCGCAGTGTGCATCCCGCACAGTGGCGAGCCTGCCTCCCTTGGGGTTCAGGGAACAGGGGACGGGGCAACCCCTTAGCTGCAGCAGGGCCCAACTTGGGCTCAGGGCCTGGGGGGCAAAGGTCCCTTCCCCACTGCTGGCCAGCTCCTGCTCTTCCCACCGCTCCCCTGCTGAGAAGGGCCCTGTCTGCCTCCAGCCCCCTCCCCCGCCGGCAGAGTTGGAGCTTCCCCTTGGGCCACACTCCACCTGAGCAGCAACTCATTCTGAGGCAGGCAGGCAGGCAGAAGTCCACCTGATACACCCATCTTCCTGCTGGTGGAGGGTTCTTACTGTGGAGGAGGTGGGGCCCCAAGTGATGAGGAGACCCAGGAGGCTGCCCTCCTCCTCCTGGGAGCACAGCCCACTGTCCCTGCAGGAGGCACAGGGGATTCTGCCTGGGGTCCTCCTCCCCTGCCCACCTGGCCAGCAAAGTTTGGTAAAAGAGGCTGCCCTGGGCACAGGAGTGGGGCGAGGTGCAACCGGGGCACACCTGGCCCCTTTGCAAGGAGGCTTCTGTGGGTATGAAAAACAGGCTGGAACCCCCAGCCCTGATATCATCCAGAAACCCCAAGTTGGGGTGATGGTTCTTGCCCTGCCTGTCTTCCTCCTTCTCCTTGGGCATTGGGCCCTCCCCTAGGCTGCTGGGGAGCAGGCAGAGATCCAGCCCCCAAGCAGCTGCCCTGTCAGAGCCCTATGGGCCCCGGGGCAAGAAGCACAGCCCCTGCCTCTCGCCTGAGGCACCCCCACCTCTCACTGTTCCCTCCCTTATTGGCAGAGGTGGCTCTCTCAGGAGTGCCGGATAGGAAGGCAGGGGTCCTCCACCCCCCACCCCCCCGTGCCCAGCAGGCAGCCACCCTGGCCCTTTGTTCCACCAAAGGGGCCTCTCCCAGAGAACTGGGGAGGGAAGGTTAAAGTGGAGGAACCGGCCTGTCTGGTGCACGGCAGCTGCCTCCCAGTTTGGATTTCGCAGAGCCGCAGTTTGTTTGGCGGAGCCTGGGTGGGTTTGGAGAGCCTCCGGGGTGAACACTTCCTGTGCCCCACGTCTTTGACGCTGCTCCTCTTCCCATCAACTGCCCCCCAGACCTGCACGCATCCCTCTCAGGGCAAGCGGGACTCCTGCAGGCCTCGTTCGGTGAGGTCCTTGGCCAAGACTGGGTTAGTGGGCAGGAGTGACCTGCCAGTTAGACCCAGGCCTCCCTCCCCCTTCCCTGGACAGCAGCATCTCTCCCCACAAGCTTACTTGGGAACCCTGTGGGGGATCTGGAAGCAGCAGCCCCTGCTCGGCTCTGCAAAGGAGACCCCTGGCCCGCCTCTGCCTTGGCCGCTGAGCTCGCTCCACCATATTCCTTCCAATCCAATGGCCAGTTTGGGGGCTGTGTCCTGGTGTGTTTGGGGGCTGTCTGCTTGAATGAGTTTCCCTTGTGTGCCCCATAGAGGTACGTGGGCCCTGCTGCAGGGCAGGAGCCCTCAGGCTTCCTGATTTGTTGCAGCCGACCCCCAAAGCTGATTCTTCTCTTCCTCACTAGAGGTAACGTTGATGGTCAGGGATCAAAGAAAGGCCTTGCAACAGGGCGGTCAGCAAAGGGAGCCAGCGGGGTCTGTGCCCTTCACCTGCTTCTCTCTAAGGCTCTCCCCACCCCCACCAAGGGGGAGGGCGTGGGTCATCCCTGGGCTGGGTGGAGTGTGGGGTTGGCCATACTTTGCTCCACGGCTGCTGCTGCTGCCGCTGGTAATCTCCTGGGGGCCCCCGGCTCTGGGAGGCTTATCAAAGGAGGGCAGGGCTGGGGCTTCACTGTGGCCCTGCCTGTGTAGCACTTTTCCTTTAGCCATGGGGAACAAGCGGCGTGTCTCCGCAACTTCCTTGGACACGCAGTGTAGCTCCTCAGAGCGCTATCTCTGCTTCCCTGAGTTTTGAGCAAGGAGGTGCTGTGGCCCTCAAGAGATGAAGGGAAATCTTCATTCCTACTCATGGATGGGGCAGGCCTTGGGGTGTGGAATGGGTGAGCTGCTACCTATGCCTTGCCAGAAAAAGAGCAATGCATCTGTCAGCCCTTTGAGGTAGGCCAGGTCAGGATACAGACACCCCAAGAACTACTCTCCTTTATTGACCTAGGCTCTAAGAACAGACTTGTGAAAGCCTGGGAGAGTTTCTCTTTCCTTCCCTCTTACATCAAAGAGAGTCTAGGTGAGGCAGTCTTGAGTTTCTTCCTCACCCCCTTCTGCCTTGCCAGGCTAAGCGGATACTTTTGCAATGGCTGCTGCATAGTTTCTTCACGCTCACCTACTGCGTCCTTCCCTCAGTAAGAGGACACAGATTTGCAGACAGTCTGTGGGAGGCAATTTCTAGGTCAGACACACATCTGGAAAAAGAGTTCCATGTCCCATCCTGATTTTTCAGTGGCAGTAAAATTAGAGCATGCAGTTACCCTGGAGTAGGGAAGCTATAAGGGGTAGCAGGGTGGAAACAACCCTCCTGAAAGGGTGCCTGTTCAGCTGGCACCACTTCCTTCCCCAAACCACCTGAGGAAAGACCATCCGGTTCTCGGAGATCTGGTCCTTGGCACTGCTCCCCGGCAGCTTGGTCCTGAGCCCTCTCGCCATCGGTGCCCTTCCCTGGGCTCCTCCAGGATGCCTTGCTCCAAAGAGCATCACCGGAGTGGCCTCCTGGGTCTTGCAGGCGGTTGCCATGACGGCAGCTTCATCAGAAAGCCGTGCTGGTATCCAGGCCAAGTGGCTGGAGGGAGGAGCAGGGGTAAGGATTTGCTGGTGGGACCTGGCAGGGGGTGAGGGCCCTTTCCTGGCAGTAAGTTCTCTCCTGCGTAGTGGTTTTCCACCCCTGCACAGGCAGAAATGTTTTTCCTGTTGTGTATTATTTATTTATTTGGGTGTTTTATGATGAACACTTAGATATACATACTATACCAAGAGAATTAATGAAAATGCCCAGAAAAATGTGTTAAAATGCACCCTATAAATTACCACTGAGAAATAAACAACACTAAAACCCAGGATCTAATTTTATCTACAAGCAGTAAAGACACTGAATTCAAATTAGCTAAGTGATCTGCCCAAACACAGCCAAAGAAAAGAGATTTGCTCTTCCCAGAAAGTCATCAAAAGTGAGTGGGGAATGGGGTGCGTAGAGCCTGTGAAGAGAAGGTGCTCTTCCCCCCTTTCCTCCCTGTCCTGCTGGGGTGCAGACCCCCCCTTCCTCCCCCAGAAAGCCACTTTGGCTCTTGGCTGTGCCCTCCCCTCCTCTCTCCTGAAGCCTCCAGCCTTAGGGAATTGAGACTGCGATGCGGTGGCAGCGGGGCAGTCTGGTCTAGATCCACCTCCTGCCTGTCTAAGTGCGCAGGCAGGCAGGATGCAGATGAGATATGCTGCCTTTGAATCTGGAGGTTCCATTTACCCACGCTATTGTCTGGTTCTGAGGCTCGTGGCCCAGCCAGGGGCCATGGCGTGTGTTGCGTTAGGTGCCCGTTGGCTCTCTGGCCAAGCCTGCCTGCTGAAGTGGGGTGACTGCCCCGCAGGTGAACCAAGGCAACATGCCCGGGCTCCAGAGCACGTTCCTTGCCATGGATACGGAGGAGGGTGTGGAGGCAGTGTGGAATGAACTGCAGTTCACCGACAAGAAGGCTTTCAAGGCGCAAGAGGTGAGACGGCCTGTTCCCACCCCCCAGGTGAATCGGGCCCAGCGGGCGAGAGCGGGGCCTATGCCCAGGGCCACCCAGGCAGAGGCTCTCTTCCCCTGATGCTGCCACCTTCCCCAACAGGAGAAGATCAAGACCATGTTTGAGCAGCTGGTGGTCGTTGACCACCCCAACATCGTGAAGGTGCACAAATACTGGCTGGATGTGAATGAAAGCCAAGCCCAGGTGAGTCTGGCACAGGGCCGGGCCGGGCCGGGCCGGGCTGCCGAACCTCCCATGGGTGTCTCTGGGGTGGGGCTCAGGACAAGCTCTTTCTCCGACAGGGGCTGAGTCTCTTGGGTGCCGAGACGGCCAACCCGCTAGAAGGGATCGGGCAGGCCTGTGGAATCAGAAAGCGGGGCTGGGAAAAGGCTTCAAGAAGGAAGCCTTGAGTAGGTCCTCTGAGGGGCCTCTTTATGGGGATTTGTGCTGGGGGCCGCAGGCCGGGCTCAAGGGCATTAGTCGCTGGGCCCCTGAGATGAGGCAGCCTTCCCTGTGGGAAGAGTGGGGGCAGAGCCCCCTTTGTGCCTGGGAAGGGGGGCACCCACTGGGCCCGCTCTGACCCACCCTCCGCAGGTGATCTTCATCACCGAGTACGTCTCGTCCGGAAGCCTGAAGCAGTTCCTTAAGAAGACCAAGAAGAACCACAAAGCCATGAGCGCCAGGGTGGGTGGGCCCCGCCCAAGCCGCTTGTGTCGGCCCGCTCTTCTGAGCCAAGCAGCCGGGGTGGGGTCCCCTCCAGGAAGGCTGGGCGCAGGGTCCCTGGGGCGGTGGGCATGGGTGGGCGTGCTGGGTCACGGCCCCCACCCCCTGCCCTTCCTGGTGGGTTGCTGCCACGCCTGGGCCCCCCAGGCTGCCAAGTGCCCTGGGAACAGAGGGGGGTCCTAGTGGGAGGGGCCGTGTGCGTCCCGGGCGGACTTTCTCCCTCTGCTCTCTACCTGGCAGGCTTGGAAACGCTGGTGCACCCAGATCCTCTCAGCTCTCAGGTAAGGCCCTGGGTTTCCCCGAGCCCCCCTTCCTGGCCACGCTGCCTCTGCTGGCCCCCGAGAGCACCTGTCCCCAGCACTCTTTCCCTGCAGCTACCTGCACTCCTGCGACCCCCCCATCATCCACGGGAACCTTACCAGTGACACCATCTTCATCCAGCACAATGGGCTCATCAAAATTGGATCAGGTGCGAAGGAGGTGGGCCCAGAGGCTCTCTGCACCCCTGAAAGCCCGGCTGTTGGGAACCCTCCCACTCCCACAGGGTCCCAGAAGAAGACGCACGCGTGTCCTCCCCTCTCTTCTCCAGCAACGGGGCACTCTGGGGAGCAGGCCTCAGTCCATGAGGCTTTTGTCTGTGTGTTTTCCCACGCCTTCCCATGACCAGTGGAGCCCACCCCCAACCCCCCCCCCCCCCGCAAGAAAGGGCACCCCCCCACAACGGCCGGCGCGCCAAGCCGTCGCTTGTTGGGGGGGTTCCTCCTGTCCCCCGGCGGTG